AGAAGACAGCTCGCTTACCCTTTACTCCCCATCCCTCTTTGCTTTCCCTTCTCTTCCCTCTCTTGATATGCCTTTTCCCTAATCTGATAGATGCTGTCGGTTTATACAGCAGAGGAGTAAGAAGCACCTCTAAGTGCAGGATAAAGCTGTGCACCACATGAAGTCCATGCTTCCCCGAGGATGGCAAAAGAGAAAGACCTTCAGGCAGAAGGCATGTAACGTCATGTCCTGAGTGAGAGGAAGAGCCTGACACCAGGCTCAGCTGTCGGGAACTAGTCGCTAACTCACTAACACATTCTCCGGGACAAGTTACTTAATCTCACTTTCTTTATCCGCAACCAGGGAACAATACCCACTTCAAGTTTGTCGTTAGCATTACATGAGACAATCCCTGTATTCTGCGTCGTGCCTGACTCTGGTTTAGCGCTCAATATAGGTTCGCTTCTATTTTTAGCATTCCAGAGAGCCGGAGGACCCTTTCTCACTGGGTGACCTTGGAACGATTTCTCACGGAGGGGGCACTAACTGGACTGGGAAGCCGAACTCTTGGTCTGGTTGATACAGTTTCACCGAGGCAACAACCCAACCAGAGGAGGTCAGTCCCGTGGCAGCACCAGGGCGCAACTCCGTGTCTGGAGCCGGGAGGACTGAAAGGTGTGGGCAGGCTGCGGAACGCTGGCCTCCCGGCGGGCAGAGGGAGCCAGCACAAGTTCTGGAGCAGGGGAAGGCCGGGATCAAAGCGCTCTGAGGCAGGCCAGGGCGCACCAAAGGGAGGCTAGCGAGTTGCATCAGCACAGATTCCGTGATGCTCTGTAGACGTCTCGGGGCTGCTGGGCTTTACGGGAACCCACAAGAAAGGAAAGGACCGGGGGAGCGAGCAAGGCGGGGGGACAGGCGAGGGCGCGAGGGCCCAGTCGCCCGCCCGCGCGCTCCCCGCGGCGCCTACCCGGAGCTGGGCGCGCCCGGGACAGCGGAGGCCGCGGAGGCCGCTCCCGCTCCCCTCCCCCCTCCTCTTTTTCCCCCTCGTTACTGGAAGGACTGTGTGGGAGAGACCCAGAAGCACCCGGATTTTCGAGCGCAGGGTGGAGGAGGGCCGGGCAGCGTCTGGTGCTCAAAGGAAAACCAAAAGTGCGTCTGCTCGCGCTGCTCTGACACGCGGTTGCTCCTGGGAGGGCCCCGGGTGCCCCGGCCGCGCCTCTCTTTACAGCCCCCACAAGACTTCGCTAGGGCGGTCCAAGGCCCGCGTGGCGCGGGGAGGTGCTGGGAGGCGAGTGAGAAAGTGTCACGATTTCTTCTACGCCAGTCCCCCCCAACCCCGCGTCGCAACCCCCCTCCTCGCGTCGCCACCTCCGGTTTTCTGGGTTTTGCTGCTGCCGCTGGGGAAGAACTGATTCGTTTTGCGTCAAAGGACTGCATTTACTCAGTCCTGCTGGGAGAGGCACGTAAACACCCAGGCAAGCCAGGACGCAGGAATGGGGGGAAAAATGCAGGGCACCCATGGCTAGTGTGCGCGTCCTCCTGCCCCAGCCCGCGGAGCTGGGGACTCTGCCTGGCCGGGGGCACTCTGCCCGGCGGAGGTGTGAGGAGTCCGGCCCGCCTGGCTTGACCGCCCCCGCGCGCGTGCGTCCTTGGCGATAGAGCTCGGGACAGAATGTGTTTTATAACTGTAAACAATGACCCCGAGTATTGTTTGGGATTACCGTATCTTGGGGCCCTTGGGGCTGCCAGATGCCTCCAGCCGTTCCGGAAACGCCAGCGCTTTATATAGAGCCCCAGGAAAGGTTCAAGTTCCCGGCTCTTTTTTTCTTTCCTAGCAGCACCTCCAGTTTACAGATAAGGAAACTGAGGACTGGAATTGTGATGTGTTATGGTGAACATGGATTCAAAGTCCGCAGTAGCCTCTCAACAAACATTCTCATTTGGTCCTCATGGAGCTACTTATGAGTTAGTTAGGGCGAGGTGGCTCAGGCTTGTAATCCTACCACTCTGGGAGGCCCAGGTGGAGCATCCTTTGAGCTCTGGAGTTGGAGACCAGCTTGAGCAAGAGTGAGACTACGTCTCTACTAAAAATAGAAAAATTAGCTGGGTATTGTGGTGGGCACCTATAGTCCCAGCTACTGGGGAGGCTAAGTCGGGAGGATAGCTTGACCCCAGGAGTTTGAGGTTGTATTGAGCTATGATGAAGCCACAGCACTCTAACTTAGAAGGGTTGGGTAAACTGAGGCTCATACAGGCCCTGGACCAGAACCTAAGCTCCGTGACTCCTAGTACAGTGCTCCTCCAGTCACACCACATCATGTCTGCGTGGCCCCCAAACAGAGAAGGGGCTTGGGTCATCTGTCTCAACTCCTTCATTGTATAGGAATAAATTGAAGCCCAGGGAGATTAAGGGAATTGCCAAGATCTCAGTTTGTAAATAGCATAGCTTGGCGTTCCTACTCCAAGGTCTATGCTCTGTACTCTGCGCGGCACCCCACCCAGTTAGGCGGGAAGACTCAAGAGTCCGGTTACCCGCGCCCTGAACTTCGCTCCAAAACAGCTGAAGGCAATGTTGGGGCACACCCTTTCGCTGGCCTCTTTCCCCCCACCCCTTTTATTTTTAATTCCTTAACAGTCGCGTTTGCTTATAACACCTGATTACTCCTATTAGACGCAACCTAATTGCCCGGCATAGAGGGCGGACGGAATGTCTTGACTGGTTAATTTCATTTTCCAGGCTACTCCTTACAAATTAATTGTAGGACCGAAAAAATTAAAACACCCCCCCCCCCCGCAAAGGAAGCAGTAGGCAGACGGCCACGGAGGGAAAAATAGGCAGGCCAGCCCAGCCTGGCGGCGCCGCGCCCCACCAAGGCCGGGCTGCAGGGAGGCGCGGGTACCCCGCGCGTCCAGGGCGCCCGCTGCACCCGGCGGCGCCGCGAAGGGCGCAGACGACCGCGCACGGCCGCGCCCTCCCTGCGAGCGGCTCTATTCGCCCGGCTTCTGGCCTCGCGGTGGCGCCGCACTGAACCGCCCGTCTAGTCCTCAGGACTGTGATTATTTTCTAGAACTCGGAGCCGAGACCCGCGCGGTTGCTCTTAGGGCCCCGCCCCGCGCCCCTTCCTGGGGCGGGGGAGAGGCCGCGGAGCGCTCGGGAGCGGGCGAGGGAATCCCTCTCCCTCCACGTCACCCGAAAGCGAGGAAACCCGCACTCGCGTCCTTTAACGCAAATGACCATCTTTGGCAACGTGCGCCAATGGAGCAGACCAAGGGCCCCGGGCGCGGGGGTGAGCGGGGTTGGGAGAGGGCCAGGGCCGCCCCGGCTGCCCCAAACTGCACGGACTGCGCGCTCCCACTCGGGCCACCGGCTGCCTTCCTCGCGCGAGGTGTGCGGCTGGCGTCAGCGCGGCCGGCGGCCAGAGCTGGGAGAGGATCGCTGCGCAGCCCTCCTCCCCTCTCGCGCCTCTTCCTCCTCCTCCTCCCCCCGCCTCCTCGCGCGCCCCTCCCTGCAAGGTGGAGTCTGGGGTTGACGTGAGTGAATCCACATGGTACAGGGGCTGGAGAATAAAGAGTGTGGAGTTGAACTCGTGCCATTGTAGTGACTCATCTCGGGCAGAGCGCAGGGGCTCCGAGCGATCCAGCGAGCAAGTCAGCGAGCGGCGCTCGGCGGGGACAGAAAGAGAGGGCGAGGCGGGCCCGTCTGGGAGCGGGAGTCGGGGAAGGGGTGCAGGTCTGGGCACCGGCACAGCGGCGCGGGGAGCGGGACCGCGTCCCCCTCAGCGTCGCCTCGGCGTGTACTCCACGGGCTGCTGTCCCGCTGGCGCGCTCTCGGCCGCAGCACTGGCGCACGCTGCCTCCTCTTAGTCAAGTGTCCGAGCCGTTCCGAAACTCCGGCAGCGAGTCGGCCACAGGAAGTTTACTCTCGGGCTCCTTATCTAAAAGGAGGAAATAGAAGTTTCTCCAAGCGGGCAGCTTTTCTTTTCTCCTTTTTGGCCCTGTCTGAAATCGGAGGTGCCTATAGCTGGCAGGCAAGGCTAGCCGGGCTCCTATTCTTTTTTAATTTCCAATTTTTGATTGGGCCGTCGGTCCCTGCTGGGCTCCGGCTGCGCGCGGGGGCGGGAGGGCGCGCGCAGGGGAGGGACCGAGGGACGCGCCGACTTTTAGAGGGAGGGACTGGGTGGACAACTGGTCCCGCGGCACTCACAGAGCAGGAAAGAAGCGCAGTGCGAGGCGCTCGGGAGACACTGTTCCTGGAGTGTCGCCGTCTCCCTGTCCTTGCCCGTTGCAGTGGGGTAGAAACACAACAGTGAAGACTAGAGCCCGCAGCGCGGCCGGCGGACTAACGAGCGCGCAGCAGCCGGTGCGCGGCCGCGGCGAGGGCGGGGGAAGAAAAACACCCTGTTTCCTCTCCGGCCCCCATCGCGGATCATGTACCAGGATTATCCCGGGAACTTTGACACCTCGTCCCGGGGCAGCAGCGGCTCTCCTGCGCACGCCGAGTCCTACTCCAGCGGCGGTGGCGGCCAGCAGGTAGGTGCGGGCCCCGGGTGCACCTGGCGGCACGGCGGACCCGCCCTCTCACCGCCACTGTCTCTTTTGCTTTCTTTTCCCTTTCTTGGCTTGGCGAAAAAATATCTGCGGGGCCACCGTTTTAAGTTCTGGATTTTCGTCCTGCTTTCCTCCCTCCCCTTTTTAAACTGGGCGGGGGGGGGGAAGGTGGGCTTGAAGAGCGAACATACCCCTTTCTTTACACTACATCTTGCGCAGACAAGCTCTGGGAAGTGCAGAACCCCTACCCGGAGACTCATACCTCCTTCCAAGAATACTCACCCCCTCCTCCCCTTTGCACCCACTGGCTCCTCCTGACACCCTGGGATCCTATTCCTGCGCGAAAGCCCTCCCCCAATTGTTCCCCCTTCTCCATCAGTCTTTGCTCCTTTCCAAAGAGGTTGGGGACTCAGAAAAATCGTTAGGATACTTCAAGTAATCCGTAGTGAGGGTGAGGGTTGCTGCTCTGGGAATCAGGTGCGAAGGTCAGGAAGGAAGAGGCTAGCCTTGATTGGCTCCTGCCACCGCCTGTGTGCCCCAGGTCCCCACTCCTGTAAGGGTGGGAGGGGGGAAGGAGCCTGCACTACTCCCAAAGAGGGAAGGAGAATCCTGAGGGTCTGGGGTACCTGGGGCAAGGAGGCTGGCAGACAGAAGTGGGGGAAAGAGGTATCATTTAAGCTCCTGGGTGGTGCTGGAAGCAGAAAACAACTTGTTTTCAAAGCAGCCAGACTGGTTTGCACTGGAGGGATTGTGCATGCACCAATCTTTGTGTTTATAAATACCAGAAAGGCTCTGGTGGGGTGCCTGCCCTCTGCACTAGCTCCTCCATCCCATCTTGTGAAGGAGCTGGGTTAATATACAGGCTCTCTTAACAACATGAAGCCCAACTTGGCCAGCATCTGTAGAGTTTTGAGCACAGTTGGCTGCAGCAAGAGATGCTCCTTAAAGCAATGGCCTTGACCTGTAGCAAGGGCTGGGGTGGCCTTCCAGGGAGGAGTGGACCAAGCTGCAAAATATAATGGAAACATAGCTCTTTGGGAAAAAACAAGAGTAACGCCTTATTCCAAAGTGATTCTCTATATCTGGTGAGTCCCCCAAATGGCTTTTCTGTGTCTTCCCTCTACCTCCCCTTATGCCCCCATAAGCACCCACTGTAGCAAGCCTAGTCTGTTCATTGTGGGTGCAGTCAATATACCCTTCATAATGAGCAATAAGGTGATGAGTTTAAAATCTTATCCGAAGAGTTGATTATATTTGCTTCCCAGCCCCTTGGTGGTTTGTATTAAATCCAAACATCATTAGGCAATGGGCTGGAGTCATTAATGCCCACTCTCCAATTCAGCAAAACCCTAAAATACCTGTTTCCTTCTCCCTGAGTCAGAAAGGGATGTTTTGATTTCTCCTCTGTTCCTTTTGCTGATGTTCTGTGGCAGTGATCATTGAAATATTACAATCTCACTGCCTGGCTTCACTTAGACCTGGGGCCTGAATGGGAAGTCTGACCGGACATCAGTGCCCCAACTGAATAATCTGTGTCACTAGGGCTTTGAGCCCAGGATCTGAGCGGAGGCGATTCCCTGTTTTGGAAGAAAATCAGACAGGAAACCAGTGCTAGGAAGAAGGAAGAGAACTCAGTCCAGCACAGTGTAGTGGGGCCTCATTACTGAAGCAAAAAAAAAAAAAAAAAAAAAAAAGAGGTGTTGGCTAATTCCTAGCATGCTGTAACACATGAGGATTTTGCAATTAGCAATAACCAGTGCACAACGTTCTTGAGTATGCGCCTGCCCATTCCGCCCAGCATTGTGAGTGCGACACCTTTCAAATTGGAGGGATTGGCAAGGTAACCCCACTTTAGAAAAGATTCTCAGTCTGCCCGCTCCTTGGTGACGGTGCCTGGGTGGGGGGGTCGTGGCAAGGAGGAGTGGGAAGGGTTTTTCCATCATTGCCCCAACTTTGAGCAAAATTGTTCTGTGGTCCTCAGGACTGACTTCAGAGGTTTTTGTTACTTCACAAGTCTGTGCTATGACCCCGCCCTGTCTCAGGCTCAAGGTAACTTTATTACATACCAGATAAAACCTGTAATCACTTTATTTCTCTCAGCTTCCTTTACTGGGAGACTTTCTGGCAGTTAGTGGATAGACTGTCCTCTTTTATGGCATTTCAGTGGACCAATCAGTGTGAGATAGGGTTCTTCGGTTCTTCCCTAGGCAAGTTAATA